ATAAAGAGTACATTTATATACATGTTTAAGCCAGAATGATTTGAAATTTAAATATCACTTCCCTACGACTTTACAACAGTAAACAGTAAATCATCCTTCAAATTCTAGTTTCAAGCAGACACAAAAAATGCCTACAAGTATTGAGGGAAACCAAACTTCTTTCTAAAATGCGTTATTTTTCTCTGGGACGCTTCTCAGGGGTGAGTCCTACCTGTTGCTGCTGTCTCTGTTGGTTGGCTTTCTGTTTGGCACGTCGCTCCAGAAACTGTTTGGCGAACTCTTTGGCTTCCACTGTGTCCCCAAGGTAGGACCGGATGAAATCCAGCACTGCATAGGGAGACTCCACCTCCTTCAGGTAAGCCACAATAGTGGCAACTTAATGAAAACACAAAGTTAACTGGTTACTGGAAGGAGCAGAACAGAAGTGTTAATAACTGATCTAACAAACAGGTTTATAATGGAAAGATTAGGAAGTTTATTGCCAAAAGTTTTAGACGACTAAAAGTCTATGAAAGCTCCTCAAAATGTCAGTCCTAGAGTAGGATGATAATCCAACAAGCAAGAGCAGAGGCGGCAACAGTGTAGCTGTGATTATGATTAAACCGCTGAACTAAATTTAGGTTGAACTCTGCGCGCCCCTTGGCAAAGCTTAACTGCTTCCTACCATCCAGAGAGGAAGAGGAGTTGTTGGCAGAGGTGTTGAGAGCGTGCAGCATCTGTTCACACCAGGTGGTGAAGCCGTCCTGAGGCTTCATGCCCTGCAGCAGCTTCAGCAGCTTCTCCTCATCCTCTGTTCTCTTGCGACGCATCATGTACTGATCACTAGGAAACACAAAAGGCTCTACCGTGAATACCTGAAGGAGGAAAAGTTATATATGCAAAAATTAACAAAGCGTTTAACATCAAGTACGTCAGTGAGGGGCTGCTGCGGCTGTTCTTCAAGCCCATGTTGTTGTTGCCGTTCCCACGCAGGCCGCCCTGGTTCTTCACAGCCTCGTCCCACATCCCCATGCTGCTGGACGAGCCTCCGCTTCCGCCTTTCCCCTCCAAACCACCGCCCCACATGCCGACTCCATCGGCCCACTGCCCGCCTAAGGAGGAGCTCCCCATAGACAGACTGGGATGCTGCGGGCAGGATGAATATATTAAAGATAATGTGTCGGTATGTTTGGTTTCCAGGAACATCCCACCTCCATCCTGAACTCACTCTTTGCTGCTGGGCTCTCTGTTGCTGCTGCTTTAAGATCCTCTCTGCCTCCTGCATCTCCAGCATGGTCAGAGACTTCCCTGCCTTGGAAAGCCCAGAAGAGGAGGCGCTGCTCCAACCTGAGCCTCCCACTCCAGGACCCTGTTGCTGGGGGGACTGCTGCTGCATCAGCTTCATGAGCAACTCCTGACGCTGCAGGGAGAAATCGCACCATTTTTATTGATTTTATAACAGAGAACTGTTTTCATATTCCCGACGGTAAAACTGTTTGGTATTATAATCAGGGTCTCTGCAAGTTAAATGTGGGATTTTTAAAAATTAAATGTAGACAAAACCAACAAGCTCGATAGAAATAATTTTATTACTACCTCAAGCAAGTTAAATGTTTTACAGCTCAAGTCTCCTAACATCTCTTCTGATGGCTTTTAGCCAAAAGATGAAATCTGGTTTTGTGCCAAACTGATAAATATGAATTTTAAATCAGTTTTGTAGACCATCGCCCAATACGTTTTCATTTTCAACCATTAGCCTTATTCTGCAGAAAGCCAGCTGTAGTAAAAACGAAGGAATGATGGGAGGATTATTTTAATCGGTTCTGAGATTTTAAAGGGAAAGAAGTTTATTTAAAATTAATCTTATGTTACTCATGTTAACTGACTTTTCCTTTTTCTATATTTCCTTCTTTTTCACGTAGATTTTTTAATAACATAAAAAACAGGGATCATTTTACCTAATTTTACCTCGAATTTTGACAGCTCTATCAGATTCATTGTAAATTCTTCCTTTGGTTGATTGATGTTTGGTTGCCTAGCAACCAACATCCTACCTAGAACTCTTTGGCTAATATGAAAAAATGGCTTTCAGAAGAAATCTAACAGTGAAACAGGCTTCAGAAATCCTTCAAAATATTGATGAAAGCGATTCGGGCAGAGGAGGAGGACTGGGGAGGAAGATGCTCAGATTCTGACAGTGAGTCCGATCACCCATCCCCGGGAAAACGCAGAGGTATCAGTGAACCATCTGACCATACTAAAACTTTTGTTCAAGCACTGGCCATATCTCAGCCGGTACACTCAGCGGCCCAAAAGCCAAACCAGAGCCCGTAGTCTACTATAACCACACAGGTCGGGGTGGAAGTGTCGGATCAGATGATTAGAAAGGATCCTGTAAAAGCTCTGACGCAAAGGTGGCCTGTGGCTGTAATTTATGATCTCCTGAACATATCGGCTATATACGTGTTGGTTTTATTCAGGAGCTGTTTGAATGTCACTCTCTCATGCAGCGATTTTATCCTTGAATTGGTAAAACAGTTGCGGGCAAACCGCAGGTTTCCATTCCCTCCCTCGCAGTAGAGCAGCTTTGGAGAGGCACAGAAAACAGCGCCAGGTGCTTCAGCGCTGCACAAAAAAATGCTCTTATAATGTTTGTCATAAATGTGAGAAGGTGTTCTGCAGGAAATATTTGGAGGGAATCAATCAATTTCAGTAAATAAAATTGAACCTGTGTAGTAAAACAGTCTTACTCTACTGATTTATTTTTAATACAAATTTAGAATACAAATAATAATAGTATACAATACAGGCTTTGAAAAATATTTATTAGACCTGTTTTAAGGTTTACATATCCACAATGAGTTCATATCGCACACTAGAACCATCTTAGTTGATGCATGAAGGGCCGGATAAATCCTAAAGTAAATAACTGATTTAAACCTTTTAAATAGATTTCCAGGCTATTTGAACCCACCTGCTTGCGTCTGTAGAGTTCCTCCTCCTCCACCCTTCTCTTCTGCTCCTCCTGTTGCCTCCTCTTCTCCTCCCTCCTCTTGCGCTGCTCCTCCTCCTCGCGCTTCGCCCTGAGTTCGGCGTCTCGCCTCTCCTGGAGCTGATGGGAGCAAAGAAATCAAAGAGTCTCAATGTAAACTGAAGCAGAACAATAATGAGTGAGAAGTTGGAGTGAACCGAACCGACCTTCTGAAGCTGTTCAAGAGTTGGACCCTGAGTATTAGGATTCATTGTTAAGTCCCAAAGACTGGCTTCACCGCCTACAGAGGAATAAAAACTGTCAGTCTCTGCTTTATTATGAGTCCTGTTGAGATAAGATCAAACTATCCCAACTGTACCTGACGACTGTGAAGCTGAGGTATGCATGTCCCACATGGACCCTGTATCTGGCACTGACATCGACCTGTTCATCGAAGGCATCATACCCTGCTCACTGCACCTGGAACACAAAACCCAGGGTTCTACTCACAAGTTCATCTGACAAAACCATTTAAATCAAGACTTTTCTTTTATTAAGCCAAGGGAGGAAAACAAACGGATTTCTGCACCTGTTAATGAGCTGGAATAGCTGCTGCTGTTGGAGCTGCTGATAAAGAGCTGCCGTCGCCAGCTCCTGCTGCTTTTTGAGCCGCTCCTGCTCCAGGTTCCCCTGAAAAACGTGACATCAGAATTCACCAAACAGCACGAAGCCTTTTCTGCTTTGTTATAACATTTTCAACAGTCATCTAACTGCAGTGAGACATGCATCCTGTTCTGTTAGTTCATCTGAGGTTTAACTCACAGTCCCGGAGGATCCCCGGGTGGATTGCGAGCGCTGCGTTGGAGGGAGCTGCCTCACTAGCAGGGGCGGCGGCGAGGGCCCGGGGGCGAAGGGCACGCGGCCCCACATCTTGATGACTTCCCCCAGTGGCTGAAAGCCCTCGTCGCAGCCTCTTTTCACCAGCAGGGTCATGGTGAAGTAGCCGGCCTGGAACCACTCGCACATCTCAACCGTGGTGAACGGACCTGTAGGACAGGAGTAGGAAATGCTCCAGGTTCCGTCATTTGAAATGATTAGTTAAAAAAATAAAAATAAAAAAGTGCTTTGTCCCGTCACAGAGCGTGATAAAACATACCCTGGATCTCTCCCTGTGGGTCTTTATAGAACCACTTCATGGCAGCTTCATGAGATAACGGCAGAGCAGCCGCCGTGTTCCTGCTCTCCTGCTGCTGCTGCAGAGCCTGGGTGAAACACTCATCTTCCAAAGAAGTGTCCTGCAGTGAAGCCACCATCTTCTCTGCCTCCTGTGCAAATCAACAAATGTCGTCAGGATTGTTGAAGCATTTCCGCTCTTTATTCCCAAAACCCTTCAATCTGACCCCCTGCAATCAGCTCTGAAATCCCACCGTAGCTTATAAATCTACACTCCTCATGTAAACCACAGCCTCCTGGCACTAAGCCTGTAAATTCATTTTAGAATGCGTCATTGTTTACAGTTAAAAGAACATTAAAGTCACTTTAAACCTCTAATAAACGTGTAAAAACTAGATTTCAAATTAATTTCAAAAACAGACAGGAAATGAGAAAGAAAGGAATGCAAGTGTTAAAGACAGAGCTGTGATTTCCATTAATAAAACTATAAGCTATAAATGTGTTATAGTAATTATTCTGCAAGGAAACTTACTGCAGACACGTCTTAAAAAAGTGTGACTAACACGAAGGAAAAGAAAGGAAATGTGCCAACACAGTGACAAGACTGAACTTTGATTATTTCACAGCAGTTTTAAAATATTTTCTAATAAGGCAGACCTAATTCAATCTATTTAGTACCGTAATAAATGAGTCTTTTGATCAATTTTAAATGTAACCCAGGATATAATAGCTCAAGCTACAAAATATCCAAATATGTAGTACAAAACAAAAAGAAAAAAAGAAATGCCCAACAAATGTTATAGATACTTTCAATATTTGATTTGATCTTTTAAAAATGTTTTGATTGGAGTGTTTACCCCCTCCCGCTTCTACAGACCGTCTTTATACGATTGTTTTGTTTTAGTAAACACTTTTCATGTAATCACAGTAAAAAAATGATAAACATTAATCGCTGGGTTACACATTAGCAGCCATTTTTTACAGGAATTCAACTGGAGTTCAAAAGGAAATGGATGCTAAACCCCAGTAAAGTGATTTAGGGCCCAAAAACTTGTAAGGTAACACATTTTTATTCCACACTTTCATTCTAAAAAGTTTTCCAATGCAGCTTTGCCAGGATTCCCTTCATTAGAGATTTTAGGTCTGTGCATTTAAATCAAAACCCTTAAACTTGGCTTGTTCATTTGGATGTAAAACAGGTGTGAAGAGTAAAATTATTCTTTTCTTGACTAAAACTCCTTTCCTCTCTCCTCCAACTGCAGTCGAAATCAGGACATATTACATTAATTTGTACGAGTTCCTCATTTCTGCGAAGCTTGGAGCGAGCATACTTGGCTTTAAACCATCACACCTCTATTATGTTTTCTTTCTAATCACATTCCTGGCTCTGCTGCTGGGTTTCTTCCAGCGATCTTGTCACAGATCACACAGACACAGGAGGACAACCACCTTGTTAGCATTAACAGACTCAGAGTCAGGCTAATTTTCTATGCCAGAAAATTATTTTCCTCAAACATCAGAGCAAAAGACCCCATGCAGCTTGGATTCAGACCTGTTGCAGGTGTTTCAGGCCTTCATCGTCCTCAGTGTCTCCCCCAGAGGGAGGGTGGAGCGGAGCAGCAGAGGAGGAGGGAGGGGGAGGTAGGCTGGAGGAGGTGGCGTTGGAGGCGACGCTGGGGCTGAGCTGTGCCTTGGAGGCTCCGACGGAGGCCGCGCCTGACGGAGAAATAGGAAGAACAAACAAAGAGTTAAACAATGGGGGCTATTTTGAGCGTCCCTGATCATGAGGCGGGTTTTAATTGATGTGAGCAGCCTGGTGGCTCTGAATGCGATCCAGCAGCTACAGTAAACAAGGTATTAAATGACTGAGGATAAAAATAACCTGTATCAAAACAAAATAGAATCCTCAACGGGCGCCACAGAAACGCCACGCCGGGCCAGAAAGCTACCAATCGCAATGTGTCGTTGATGTGGAACATCGACGTCTAAATATAAAGAGCCCGGCTCCGGTTAATTTAAGATTACGCAAACTGAGAATATAAGAAACACAGCAGCTGGTTCCGTCTATGTGATAAACTCGAGGTTTGGTGGTGGAAACATACCGTCCCCGGCGACGTTGCTGGCCTTGACAGAGTGGCTGCTGTTCATCTGAGAGTTCTCCATCACTGGAGCGCCGCTTCCAGGCTGCAGCTCCAGTGACGGTGGGGCACAGTGGGGAGGAGAGGAGGAGGGTGTTGGCGGCTTCATCTTGTCTTCCCCTGCAGCAGGAAGGAGAGTTCTACTCTCTATAAAAAAAACAACAACAAATAAATATGACTTTAAATGTAAAACCAGGACTGTTTGTTACCAAGTTTGGACACATTGAAAGCTTCTCATCGTTACTCACCCATGTCTTTATCTCCTTCTCCATTGCTCCTCTCTGAATCAGGAAAGCCCTCCTCATCGTCCTCCTCCTCTATGCCCTTAAAATCAAACTCTTCCTCCAGGATTGTCTCCTTGCCACCCTTCTAGAGCAACAAAAGAGGGGTGGGGCAGGGAACAAAACATCTTTAAACAAACCCTTCTTCCAGAACATTAACATCAAGTCAGGCTCCATCTGACAAACATAACAAAACTGAACTGAAATTTGTCCCAAACACTAATCGGAGCCATTAAAGACTCACAGCTCACGTTAAAGCTTACACACCTGTAGGAGCACATTTCATTATCATTAAATCTCCTTTCATGCACACACCTATGGCATTCTACAGGCTGCAGTATGTGATTTTAGTCTGTCAAAAGATTACAGACTACAGATTATAAACTACAATGATGCTTTTAGATTAAGGCTAGCCTTCTTAATCCTCCATAGCTGCATTAAATAGTCCTCTAACAAACCACTAGATTCTCTCTACCTTAGAGGCATTTTTAGACCTAAAAGTTATGTTTTTGGGGTGCAGGGGTAGGGCAGCAATAGAAAGGAGGCATTTATGTTTGGAGGCTTTAATCCGATTTGCCTTTAGCCACACGCCTTCCCTCCTCTTTCTCAAACCTATTTGTAAATTAGGTGCCTATTCCCCAATTCCAATAAACTTTGGAGTAAGGGAAGAAGCCTGAGGACCTCCTGGATGCAAGGCAGCAGAGCTATCGATCACAGTCCATTTCCCCAAAAGAATTATTAATATTAACTGAGGAGAGGATGTGCACTTTACATCTCTGGAGTGGGTTTATTTTAAATTAAAGTGTAACCTTTTTCTGAGCCTTTTCTAAATAACAAGAAAGGTTCTGTCTGAGTCATAAAATATTCCAATGAGCTTTCAGTCTGTTTTTAAAGATTCCCCATAAGTAGGATGTGTAAAAAGCAGCTGTTGACCTTTGGTAGTTATCTGTGGGAGCTTTTAATCAAAATATCAAAAAGAAAAAGTAGAACCTCCAATTCTGGAAAATAAGTCTGATTTGTGTTTTTTTTTTTTTTTTTTTTTTAATCCAGACCTTCATCGGCATGAAGGCTCCAGAAGAGTCAAACGTTCCCATTCCTCCATCCTCCTCATCAGTGCACCACTCAGGCAGGCCGTCCCTGTCGTCCTCCAATCCCTCGCTCCCTGCACGCCGGCGGCCAGCACCGTGACCCTCGGAGTCCCGGAAGTCGAAATCAAACTTCCTTCTGCGACCTTCCCCTGGACCGCTGTGTTCCCGCCAGCCTGCTGAGCGAGGACCACCATCTAAAGCGAGAAGAGAGACATTAGTCTGGAGCAGCAATAAAAAACTGATTGTTTAAGGAATGATGAAAGAAAGGAGCTTCTGGGGTCCAAAACAATCAGCTTAAGAGTTTAAAAAAAGATTGCTTCTGTTTCTCCAAATGTATCCCAAATTACATCAGATTTCTTTAAACCACAAGTAGGTGAATTTAATACACGTTTATAATTAAATAACTTTTCCCAGTTGTTTTTCTTATAAATCTCTAACCTAATCTCAGAGTATTCTTCCCTGCACAGCATTTAACCCAAAAACAGTTCGTTTTTTTTTCAGTCCACTTGTTGTTTCTAGAAAAAAAAAAAATTGAGTGAAGCACCTAAACCTCAAACTTCATGCTTTAGATCTGATTATATTTTGTTTAAAATTACTTTTAAATCCTTCTGTTGCCAGGATGTAGATAAACAGGACATTACTAAAACAATTTCCATGATATGAGCAACATTCTGTTGTAATCTGGGGAAAAAAAAGGTCTAAATTGGTAATGCAATTTCCTGTTTGAAAGTTCAAACTTCTCCAGAATCAAATTTTAACATCTTTTAATTCAATTCAGGCCTCCTTTTAATTCAAAAAAACTGCCTCCATGTTAGCAATGCTAGACTGAACTAAACGTTTTATTTTTCATGCTTATGATGATAAAACAGCAGATCTGGCCCATAATCAGAAAAAAAACGGAAAAAAAAAACACTACTACTTTTATCAGAAAATGCAACTTGGAGGAGAGGTTAAAAGCCAGATGGTGGTCAGGAACTGGAGGGAAGTAAACTGCGTCAGCTCCTGATCAGCTGGTAAATTCCTGAACACCGGTTAATTTACTTTTGTTTTTCTTGTTTTGTATTCACATGCACAAATCTAGACCTGGAAAATACTAAAAACTATTTTAACACCATATTCTTTTAGTGAATTCTGATTTTTATAATTTTCTAGAAACTGAAGATTCAATAACATCTTCAAATGAAACATTATTCTCTTTTTAAACAATGTTGTTTTAAATCTGGAATCACTAAGATCAAATTGACTGGTGAAAATCCCTTCACAGCCTCTAGATGTCAGTATAGGCTCCTTCCCTCCTCACCACAAACAACCCAACCACACTAATCCCTGTAGGTGATGTTAGCAGTAAATCATTAAAAGCAGCTTTTCTTAGGAAGCCTTCTGCTGCCAGGACACATAGCTGAATGGTTTTTCTATTGAACACCATTTTTTTTACAAACACATTCACATGCATATATATCTCATTCCGAGTAATGTGTGATAAAATTTGATTTCACCCTAAAACAAACAGTGTGAATCCTTCCTACCATCCCTGCGGAGTCCAGAGAGTCTCCAGTTGGTTCCTGGTTCCCCCTCTTCCTCCTCCTGCTCCTCTCTAAGGGTGCGCCAGTTATCACTGTCAGCCCTTGTGTACTCCTTCCTCGCCGGAGCCACGGGACCACTGCTTTCTTCAAAAGTGGGGCGCCCCACCTCCCGCCGCAGCGGCTTCTCAAATCGACGCTCGCCCCTAAGGAGAGATGGGAAATGGGTGGAAAATTACACTGGCTGAAGAGTAAACAGAAGATAAAGTCTACAGGATCATCTGGTTTTTAAGCTTTGATTAGAGCAGCAGATTGAAACATTTCTGGTCATGAATGAGGAAAAAGACAGGTAGTGAAAGAGCTCTGCTAATGTGAGATGACAATAAATAAAAAGCATATCATGCATTTTGTTAGAATGTGTTGGTTCTCTGATTTTCATCTCTTTAAATTCAGTTTTTTTTCAAATTGGTTTCTCACCGGTCGTCCCAGCTCTGGCTGCGGTGGATCTCTCGGACGCTGCGACTAAATCCCACTTCAGCGTCCTCAATACTTCTTTGGTAGAATCCCCCTTCACCACGGCCTCGGCCTGCAATAAAGAGCACAGAGGTTTAGGGGCCGACTGGACAGGGGGGAAAAAACTTGCTGAAAACACGCTGCACACTTCGCTGCACTGGTTCAAATTAGAGTTAAATTTGGAGTGTAGCAATCAGAAAAAATTGCATGTGTTCCCTCTCTATAAGCAAATGTTGGTTCAGCTGAACCAACTTTAGGGTCCTTTAATAACTACAGCTTAGCATCATTTTAGTGACAAAAAGCAATGAAAATGCAACAAAATCACAGTGTATCCCTTTGTCATTTAAATACCAAAACTAGATGTCTTCAAAGTTCAGATAAAGAATCATGCATATATTTAAAAAAAACAACAACAAACAAAATTGTGCATTATTCATAAAACCTTTTTTTTCCTCCCCCAAATCTCCTAAAAGCCTATAAGATATTTTTGGTTAAAAAGTTTTTTTGTATTTTGAAGGGAACCAACAGGAAACCAAAGCCTAGCTAATAGTAAATAAATAAAAAAATTCTCTTTTAAAGCAATCTTTGGTTTTATAGCTATAAATCCAAACCAAGTTCAAGTGTTATTTCTATTTATCAGATTGTTATTTTCTCCATTGCCCATTGGGATCCACTGAAAACAGACAGATTGCCCAACAGCGAGCAGCTCAAATGAAGATGACCTCCAGTACATCCTCTAGCTCTGCTCCTCAGAGGTTGTCAGCCTTTAGCTTTGGCTAAGCCATAAATATTGCTTTATATAAACAGCCTGAATTTGTAATTTCAGATGGAGTTGGTCGGCTAGGATCAGCTAAAACAAATCCAGTTTGCTTGCTTGTTGCAAATAATTATAGTTGGTGTGAAAGCAGCTGGCATCTTAAAGCTAATTTCAATCATATGGGTAAATAACACATACCATAAGGAAGAAATCAAAAAAACAGATTTAGGCTCCTTCAGTGACAGACTGCTGAACCATAAATGCACCAGG